CAGGGCACACCATGAGGGACGCCTATGATAAGCAAGGGAGCTCAGGGTCCCAACTGGGCGTGAGACAGGGTCAGGGCTTACAGAAGCCGAAGGTCCCCATGGTTGGGGGCCACAGCTAATGGGCGAAGGCAAGGGTCCAACTAACTGCCTGAGATGCTATCTGTGAGGCTTGGGCCGTGGTGTAGCGGTGGTACGGGAGCTGCAGAAATGCCCCTAATATCGGGGTGTAACAATGGGCAGCCTGCCTCCCACCTTAATTAACAATTTATTAATTACCAATAAAGCGTGGCAGGAAAGACAGGTGGGCAGTGTGCCCAGAGGCAGGTGGGGAGCTAGCTGCGGCTAGTGAGGGATGCTACCTTGCCACAGTCTCTTACATTAAAATTGTTGTCATTCAAAATGTTGTTCTTCCATTAAATTGTGCCACTCAAATTAAAAATCATCCATCCAGTATCAGGAATAAAACTTTTATTGGGACAAGTTTATAATTACATGGAAGTTGTTTTTTTAGATATTTGGTCCCATTTTAACAATTTTTAAATCTCCCACAACACGCACTGCAAAACAATACTACTCCTATCCAGACTCTTCTTTTCCCTCCAGATGAAGAGTTACAATACTGTGCTATATTTTGACACAGTAGATTCTTCATGGTTATTCTGTAAACAATTATGAAGAACTTGACTGATTAAAAAAAAGGAATATTCGTGCTTTTCAGGCAGCCACTATATTTTTCCAAGTGGTACAAGTCTGTAAACTGTGGAAGAATTATAGTGGTCAATGTTTTTAATGTTGCCCTAAATACTGTTACTTCAGTGTTCCATGTGATACTCTATATTTATTACTGCAAATACTGGATGATGCTACCTTGTCATTCAATGGAACTGAAAAAGGTTATGAAGCATAACTACATATACAAAAAACTAAAGCTATATTCAACAACACTGGATTGAATTGTAAGAATACTAAGCATAATCAGTATCCCAAAAGGAGGAGAAAAAAAACAAAAAATAAGTTCTATCAAGTTCTATGAAACGCAATTATTCCACCCTATTTTATACAATACCTGAAGACTGGTATCTGATAAGGACCTTGGTCAACAATTCTGCATCTCAGGCACAGTGGAACGTTCATTATAAAGGTAAATGTTATCCGTGCAGAAAATAGTTTTCTTGTGATTGTCCTTAATCCAAAAAAACTAGTTTCTTCTGCTCCAAGTTCAAGGTGTGCTTATGTTAAAAGGAGGCAAAGTTAAAGAAGTGCATCTATTTAAAACAAAAGCTCTTCTAAAACAATACATTAGATTGTACACTCAATTCTCCCCCTGGGGAGAGAATGAGAGAGAAAGCAAATGAAACATGACAGATGTCAGTCATGTTGTTTAATGGTACTAATATAGAATCATGGAATCATAGACAATTAGGGTTGAAAGGGACCTCAGGAGGTCATCTAATTCATTTTGCCTCCCCACCAATCAAAGCAGAAGCATCCCCAACTACATCATTCCAGCCAGGGCTTTGTTAAGCCAGGCCTTAAAAGCCTCCAAGGATGGAGATTCCACCACCTCTCTAAGTAACTTGATCCAGTGCTTCACTACCCTCCTAGCAAGACAATTTTTCCCAAACCTCCAATGCTGCAACTTTAGACTGTTGCTCCTTGTTCTATCGTCTGTTACCGCTGAAAACAGTCTGGCTCCATCCCCTTTCGACCCCCACTTCAGGTAGTTAAAGGATGCTACCAGATACCCTCTCAGTCTTCTCTTCTCCAAACTAAATAAACCCAGTTCCCTCAGCCTCTTCTCAAAAGTCATGTGCCCCAGCCCCTGAACCATTTTCCTTGCTCTCCACTGAACTCTCTCCAACTTGTCTATATCTTTTCTATAGCAGGGGGACCAAAACTGGACACAATACTCCAGATGTGGCCTCACCAGTGCAGAATAGAGTGGAATAATTACTTCCCTTGATCTGCTGGCAACACGCCAACTGGCAGTGAAGCCCAGTATGCAGTTAGCCTTCTTGGCAACAAGAGCACACTGCAGACTCATATCCAGTTTACTGTCCACTGTAACCCCCAGGTCCTTTTCTGCACAGCTGCTGCTTAGCCAGTCACTCTCCAGGCAGTGCATGGGATTCTTCAGTCCTAAGTGCAGGCCTTCGCACTTGTCCTTGTTGAACCTCATAAGATCCCTTTTGGCCTAATCCTCCAATTTGTCTAGGTTATTCTGAATCTTAGCCCTACCCTTCTGTATATCTACTACACCCCCCATCTTGCTGTCATCTGCAAACTTGCTGAGGGTGCAATAGATCCCATCTTCCAGATGGTTAATGAAAATATTTAACAAGACAGCCTCTAGAACTGACCCCTGGGGCACTCCACTTGATACCAGCTACCAACTAGACATTGAGCCATTGATTACTACCGGTTGAGCCTGACAATCCAACCAGCTTTCTATTCACATTACAGTCCATTCATCCAACCCATACTTCCTCAGTCTGTTTGCAAGAACACTGTGGGAGACTCCACTAACAGCCTTGCTAAAGTCAAGGTATACCACATCCGCTGCTTTCTCCACGTCCACAGAGCCGCTTATCTTGTCACAAAAGGCCATCAGGTTGGTCAGGCATGACTTGCCGTCGGTGAATCTATGCTGACTGTCCCTAATCACCAGGGATCCAGGTTTTCCATTCACCATGGAAAAACACAGTAAACCCCAGATTTTCTCCTTTAAAGGAGAAAAATGCAGGACACGGGTTTCCCCTTGCAGGCTGGCAGAGTTCCAGCCTGAAAGAGGCTGGTGGAAGTGGTAGGAGGGTGGTTAGGCAGTTGGGTGCCATGTGCATGTGAGAATGTACACATGCACATGGCCACTAGGCAGCCTGGAGAGCAGCTCCCTGCAGGTAAGTCTGGTGGCAGGGGGAATTGAGGCCCCCATAGCGAGGGAGTTGGACAGGGCTGGTGCTGCTGTACAGCTAAGGTGGTGCATGGAGCCTGGGGAAGAGGGGAAGGGGGAGCAGGCTATGGGAGGCTCATCTTGGGGGCAGTGTGGAAGCTGGCTCCCTACTGCTGCGCACACTCCCAGAGGGACATGGGGGGCAGGTGCCCTACAAATTTGTGCATGGGGCAGAGGCAGGCTGCCTGCTGCAGACTTGGGCTCCCTGCCCTGTTGCCCTCCCCCCAGGGTCTCCATGTCTTGGAGGGCTCTGGATGGGGAATGAGACTCATCAGTCAGGGTGAGGGGACTCTGAGTGGGGAGTGAGGGCCACCAACAGGGTCTAGGTGGCTGTGGGTGGGGAGTGAAGGGTAACAGCATGGGCAGGGCATCGGCATATCAGGGCTGCTCACCAGTGGGGGAGAACAGGTGCACCTGAACCTGCATCCTGGTGAGCAAAGACGGCAGGGGGAACTATGATTTTCCATGATGAACTCAAAATTAAACACCAAAATGTATAGGTATTTAGCCTTTGTTTTATTAATCTGATTGAGGCAATGGCAGGTTTCCAAATTGCTTTAAAATTGCAAATATATCAATAAAATATTGTGTTCAACTGATACCTATGTATATAGTTGTGCTTTATTTTAATCATGGAAAAATGCAGATTTGGGAGTTCTTAATCAGAGAAAGTGCTATTTTTAATCAGATAATTTGTGATTTTTAAACAAAGAAAACCAGGATCCCTGAATCACCTTCTCCTCCATGGACCTGATCCATGATTTTTCTGGGGACTGAGATGAGACTGACAGGTCTGCAGTTACCTTGGTCCTCCTCCTTCCCTTTCTTAAAGATGGGCACTATATTTGCCCTTTTCCAGTAATCCAGGACCTCCCCCAATTGCCACGAGTTTTCAGAGATAATGGACAGTGACTCTCCAATCACATCAGCCAACTCTCTCAGCACCCTTGGATGCCTCCCATCTGGCCCCATGGGCTTGTACCTGTCCTGCTTTTCTAAATAGTCCCTAACCTGTTTTTTCACCACTGACGGCTGCTCCTCCCCAAACTGTACTGCCCAATGCAGCAGTCTGAGAGTTGACCTTGCCTGTGAAGACTGAGGCAGAAAAGGCATCGAGTACTTCAGCCTTTTCCCTCATCATTTGTCACTAGATTGCCTCCCCCATTCAGATTACTATAGCCATCCTCCCCACTTTATGCAGTTTTTTATTGTACCTACTTATGACTTCAGAATACAAATGCAGAGACTTTATTATAAGGCTGGCACAGATAAGTCCTTGAAACTGTACCTGAACACCTATATCATTCCTAGAAACAATAAAGAAATACCAATACTAGTTACAGGGCACCCCCACGACTGGGAGCCCAGTCAGGAAGCATGATTCTATGGATTGTGCTTAAGATCCCATCATGCCTTTACCGGCCTGTCTGAAAAGGGTCTAAATTTTCACCAAAAAAACCCAATAATTAAAAATAATAAACATAAATGTTTAAAATAATGTTCATTATAGATTTAATAGCTGTAATTACTTTTAAAAACATAAATACCAACTCCTAAAATCTATACTAAACAAAGCAGATAAATTTTAAGTGTCTTTATAGTCTATTAAAGTCAGTGGGATTTAAAACATATGCCACAACGAACAGAATTCTCAAAGAGATTATGAATAATCTTAGAAACATTTAACTATCCATTGATTTGTAATTTTGTATTTTTAACTCTGAGATTTTAACTGTCATTTCTCAAAAAAACTGTACAACTGTCTGAAACGTAGATCAGAATAGTAGTCTCTCAATAATGATTTTCTAAGAATTAGCTTATTTTGTTGTCATTTGCACATATGCAAAGTTAGAGTCTATTTATGTCATTTAGCTGGTTTTAATTTCAACAAAAGACTTAATAGAGCTATACAGATGTAAAACAATTGATTAAAGATGTTGTAAATCATTTTAGGTCATTAAAAAAAGCATCAGTCTTTTGTAGTAATCAAGTTGAAAAAAAATCAATAAAATACCATGCGCATTCTAGGAAAAAACGGAAAATTCCTTACCTGTACTGATTCTCTGAAGAACTCTTCTTACAGGGTTTCTAGTCTTGGACCCTCCATTAGCTGAAAACTTTTCAGCACACACAGGTAGAGATTATAGCTAATCAGCATGAGAGCTCAGTTAGTCTCACTTAAACTATTTCTACTTCAGCCATAGAATCTCAGTAACTTCTTAAACAGTTGTGCATAGATTCAATCATTTATTTGCATTATGGTACCAGCTAGAGGCCCAACTGAGGTCAGGTCCCAAAAAACTTAGAAATTATATGCATAATAAGACAGAACTCCATTCCCTCAGGGGGAGGGATCTTGCAGAAATGTATACATATGCTTGAAACTAAGTGCACATAAAGTCTTTTCATGACAGACGGCTAAGCCCATTATCCTGTACATATTTTTTGCGTATGCTTAATTTTACTACTGTGAGTAGTCCCACTGATTTCAGAAACCACTCACAGAAGAAAAGCTAAGCAGATACCTGTGATCTCTTTTGTTCAAATTTTGTCAGCTCCTCTCATTTCTTGTCCATTATGCAAAAATTTCCAAGCTAAAATAATTTACATTCAAACTATTAAAGTAGCTCCCAGTTCAGTTTCAGACAGCAAACTAACTTAAAAAGCTGTCTCTGAAATACTTATGCGTACTGACTTGCATAGGGAGTAGTGCTTTCCTTCTGAAATACTACCACCACTGTTCCTGTGAGTGTATTTTAACAGGAAATGGCTGCCTCAGCTCCCAGACTAGTGTGCGACTTTCTTACCATTCCATTTTTTTTTTTGTTTCCTATTCATTATATTCTCTGTTTAATTATACTATTTACTACAGTGGTAGTAAATATGCTATAGCATATTTTGCACAAGCAGTCAAATTTTAGCAATATTACACCGCATTTCAGCACTCTGCTAGCACATCTTTTTTTGAGATAAGGATGAGGATGCAGGAATAGTTTTGTGAAAAATAAAGAGATTTGCAAATTAAGAAAGTGGTAACTTCCTAAGTACTACTGTAAAAACAGCTAAATGAAAAAGGCCATAAGTAAAATATTTTCAAGGAGGTGTAAAATGAAGTTAGTTTTATAATTTTAAATGATGAGAAAATTAAAATCATGTTTAAAAGTAAAATCTACTGAAGTCACTTTTTGGAGACTGTTCAAACATATTCTTATGTATTTCTTACAATGGAAATTTTTAAACTGGGACAATAAATATTTGAACTAAACCACTGGCAACACACTGCCAGTAAGTGTTCTTACCTAAAACAAAACACACCTCAGCAATCAGCAATACCAAGCAACATGACAGGTGGTCTGGGACAGATGTCATTGATCTTTCTTTGTTTAATATTGAACAAGCTGTTACTAAGTAACATCATGAACAAAACATACCTAACCTTTACTGCTGTTCACAAAATGTATTGAGAATGGCAAATGGGTAGGGTGACTTCAGCATCAGAAGAACTCATTACAGAATGGTTGTGTTACTCTTCTAGCAAAATATTAACAGGTAGTAAAATAAATCCCTGTAATTCAAAGGATAATTGCTCAGTGACACTTTAAAAACAATTTGTGGAAGAGGTACAAAAATACTAACCCAGTATTGTCACATGGGTATTTCTACCTCCCTAAGGAGAAGCACTGACACTAATCACCTAAGAGAGTCTTGTCCATGAATCTACACATGAAAGATACCTTATCTTCAGTGTAAGAGCATTATACTCCTAATACCCTGGACAGGAATAAGTGAGCAGTGAAAATGGTTATCTCTGTGCTGCTGTCACTTGCTCGCCTCAATTTTTTCAAAGAGTTGCACATAGAAGATAATACAGCTAGGTAGTACATTTTATCCCTCTTAAGGAAACCCTCTATAACTGCAGCTGTGCAGGCGTGAGAATACCCAAAGTAAGGTCATCATCATACTACAGTACATTAGTGCCAGCTAAATCAATGCAAAGAAGGCACAGAACAAACGTAAATTTCCTTCACCTTGCAAATCTATCCCTGCAATAAATAACACCATTGCCATAAGGGTCAGAAATCTGAGGTGGGTGAGGATGGTTTGGCTGTGACCACTTCATCTCCCCTCTGATAATGCAGCAAGGCAGAGTCCAAAGTTTATGCAGAAGCAGTTCCTGCTCTAGCCTCATTAAACTAACAATAATATAATACCAAAAGAAACTAAACATTATAATAATTTAGCAACGTATTATAGTGGTTACTATTATTAAGTAAATTAGATATGCATTCTAGGGGTGCACTGAGATTTTTGGGACCGATACCAATAGCCGATTTTTAAGGAGGCATATCGGCCAATACCAATCCGATTTCCGATACCAGCCCAGCAGCTTGGAGAGCTGAGCGCAGCTGGTAGATCTGGTGTGATAGAAGAGGAGGGGGAGGGAAGAGGCTTGGGGGGAGGCAGATCAAGGCCCCCGCAGGGAGGGAGGAGTGGGTCTGGGGCAAGCGCTGCCCAGCTGGGGCGGGACTGGCACAGGACAGAGCTGCAGCTCGTCCGGGGGGTGCGGGGAGGGGGTGCAGTTCCCACCACCGTGTGCTGCTTGGTTAGGAGCCGCTGATCCGGCGCTCGCCTGCTTATCTGGCGGCTCCCGCCACTGCTTCCGCTGCTCATCCAGGGGGGCATGGGAAGGTACATGTGCCCCTGGATCTGCGTGGGGCAGAACGACGTGGGCTGGAAAGAGTCCCGCACAGCCCCAGTCTGCAGCTGCAGCCTGCCCAGCGTGACGTGCACAGATCCCCGCCCCACCCCGCACAGATCCGGAGGCACAAGCGCCCCCCCCCCCCCCCCCCC